AGCATCTTCCCCAACATTTGGGTCCCTCCAGGTGAGAGTTGGAGGTGAGGCAGGGGAAGGGAATGTGTTTGTGACACCGCAGTTAGAGAAATTAGAGGTGGATAAGGGATGAGGATAGCTGCCATGCTCCAAAGGCAGAATACACAGTCATCCTACAGCCGGACCCTACAGGTGGTCCACAGGAAGGTTGAGAACACCTGTATTTCCCCCTGCAGTTTGTATCCCCATCCCAACCCAGGTAACTGGGATTGAGGCTCTTTAGACTAAGCCTGTATGCTTGAACAGGCCAGCCAAGGACCTTACCTGGGGCCCCTGATTTTCATAAGAAAGTGCTTTGAATTTTTCTTTTTCTTCTTAAGACCAGCAGTATACAGTGGTACCTCGCAAGACGAATGCCTCGCAAGACAAAAAACTCGCTAGACGAAAGGGTTTTTTGTTTTTTGAGCTGCTTCGCAAGACGATTTTCCCTATGGGCTTGCTTCGCAAGACGGAAACGTCTTGCAAGTTTGTTTCCTTTTTCTTAACACCGTTAATACAGTTGCGACTTGACTTCGAGGAGCAACTCGTAGAACGCGGTGTGGTAGCCTTTTTTGAGGTTTTTAAAGACTTTGGTGATTTTTGAAGCTTTTCCAAAACTTTCCCGACACCGTGCTTTGCAAAACGAAAAAAATCGCAAGACGACAAAACTCGCGGAACGAATTAATTTCGTCTTGCGAGGCACCACTTTATAAATTTTACAAAATTAATAAAAGAAACAATACCACATTGGCTTTGAGCTGGATCCTGGGGCTGAAGGACCTGACCATTAGGTCCAGTCATGGCCGACTCTGGGGTTGCGGCGCTCATCTTGCTTTATTGGCTGAGGGAACCGCCGTACAGTTTCCGGGTCATGTGGCCAGCATGACTAAGCTGCTTCTGGCGAACCTGAGCAGCGCACGGAAATGCCGTTTACCTTCCCACCGGAGCGGTACCTATTTATCTACTTGCACTTTGATGTGCTTTCGAACTGCTAGGTTGGGCAGGAGCAGGGGTAGTATATCTTTATCCCCATCGTGCATGCCGGAGGGGCCGTACATCCTGTGGAAAGCTGCCCCCCCCAACGTTTCACCCCCTTTCCTTTGTGTCCAAGAGCTGAGACGGCAACTCCGAGAATGAAACGCTGAGCTGAGCGGTGGGCTTACAGGGGGATCGAGCCTGTCAGAAATAAATTGGCATGGACCTTTCTTTTCCTTTGCAGGTGGCCACATCGAACAGGACGAACAGGTAACGAAACAGCTTGCTGTGCTCTGGAAGGAGAGGAAGTACAGAGGCAACCTGTGTCAGGGGAAACCAGGCTGGGAGGAAATAAGTTTATTTATACCAGGGAGGGTCAATGTGGTTCCTTCTGCATGTTGCTGGACTACGCCACCCATCAGCCTGGCCGAGTCAGGGGCTGATGGGAGTTTAGTCCAGCAGCATCTTCATGTTGGCTACCTGCAATTTATAGAGATTTCTGTCCCATCCTTCTTGTACCTCAGAGTGGCTTCTATCAATCTGAATTTGTGTTTTTCCTTTAAAAAAAAGGGAGTTTCAGGATCTGCTCCAAACCTGCTTTTTCTGCTCCTGTAGTTGCTGGATGCTGGGCTGAGGGAACTGGGGGAAGAGACAGGCCTGTGGCTTGAGGACGGGGAGTTTTCCTGGCGCCCGCTGGCCCTGTGGGAGGTAAGAGTCACTCAAGCACCCCAGAAGAGCTGAGGTGAATTATGGGGTGCCTAGAAGGGCTGGGAGGGACCGGGGTTCAAAGGCCAGTCCACATGAGGCAGGGGCAGCCATGTTAGTTGTGCATGACTTTGTCCTCTTCATATCTAAAATGCACAAGTGTGAATTATTTGCGCACTATTAGTTGTGCAGAGTCGCCCATGAGAGACTCTTTGGTTTAGCAATCTGGTTAAGGCTGAGGAGACACCAGTTCTGATTCCCACTTGGATGCAGTTTGCCAGGTGACCTTGTCATCATCTCTCAAACCTGGCCTACCTCACAGGGTTGAGGATAGAATTGGGGTGGGGAAGAGCCATGCCACCCTAATCTCCTTGGAGCTATTAATTTTCAAGAATAGATAAAAGAGAGTTATGAAACATAGCAATACTTGAGACCGATTGCTCTATTTACCTCAGAATTGTCTACACTGACTGGCAGCAGTGGCTGTTTGTGGTTTTCAATGGGATCTTCCCAGCCCTAACTGGAGATGCCATGGGGGATTGAACTTGGGACCTTCTGCATGCCAAGCAACTGTTCTGCCCCTTGAGATAGGGCCCTCCCCCCAGTGTTCAAAGCAGTTCACTTCCAGCCTGCTCCTTACAACAACCCTGTGAGGAGGAGTCGGTCTTCTCACACAGCCTAGGGGTTTCCTCACGGGTGCTGCCTTCTCTCACCCACTGCAGTCTGTGTACCCTCCCATGCTGAGCAGAGGCCTGCCAAAGCGTCACCACGTCGTCGTCTACCTCCTTTTGCTTTCCCGTGAGAGTCACCAGCAGCTCCAGGTGAGGTGGTTGGTGCCATTCAGGGTCACGGGAAGCCTAACCGGGTGTCCAAGCGACCCCCCCAGAAGAGAAGATCAGAAGCACACACACACCCTCCTGGTTTTAAACTATGCACAGCATCCATATGTCAAGAATGCTCAGGTTGTGATTCCTGCATTGCAGGGGGTTGGAATAGATGACCTTTGGTGTCCCTTCCAACTCTACAATTCTGATTCGTTCTTATGGGCAAGCTCTGGTGACTCGGTGGTTTCTTGGAACTCTAGTTCAGGGAAGGAGGGAGGCCTTTTTCCACCCGAGGGCTGAATTCCCCGATGGGCAGCCTGCCTACTTCCTAGAGTGGTTTAACAATCTATCTCTCCACAGTGAACTCTGGGAGCTGCAGCTCTAGGAGGGCATTAAGGGGGTCTCCTAGGAACTCTCAGCACCCTTCACAAACTACAGCTCCCAGAATTCTTTGGGGCAATTTAAAGTGGCATCCTAGGACTTTAGATGTATGTGGCCTCTTCCTCTTACATCTAACCAGCCTTTTAACTGGGAATGGCAAACCCCAGATATTTCATGGGCAAAGATGGGGGGCATACTTTTGTACTGGCGATAACCTTGTTTACACACCCAGCTTTGCCTACTTAAAATGATCATAACAGGGTTTTTTAAAAAGAAAATGGAAATTTATTAGAATATTTCATCTCAGAGTAAACAACAGAGCGTCTTGTGGCAAAAGCTGAGAAGGATGGGGAAGCTTTTATGATCAGTGGGCCACATATCCTGACCCCTGGCGGGCAAAATTTCCCAGGTGGGTGGGGCATTACCTGCCAATCGCCCTAGGTCATAGTGACATCAGGTGATGCCGCACTCTAAAGTGAAGCCCTGATTGTTGGGATTTCAAAGCCTGGTGTGGGGCTGTTTGAAAGCCCTTTTGCAAGGAGACACAGGACTGCTTTCAAACCTCTGAAAACCTGTTTGCAAAAGGGCTTTTAAACAGCCCCACACTGCTCTTTGAATCGCCAGTTTTCTTTTAAAATAATATCCCACCGTACTCGACATGCCTAGAACAGTTCTGGTTGCTTGGCTGTGCTTACTTTTGTGTCACATTTCAGGTGAGACTGAAGCCCAATGAAGCAGAAGTGAGCGCTTACGCCTGGCTGGACGAGCCGGTCTTGGCATCCATCGCTGCTACGCAGAATGAGATTGGGGCCACCAGTGCGATGGCAGGTGATCTCCCACCAGCTGTCAGGTATGTGGATGGTTAGGCGATGCGGAAAACGGGGGGGGGGGGCGGGGAGCACCCCACTCTTGTTCAGCACCTAGGTCAAAAGTGTGCTGGCAGCTCTTTGGGCTAACTGGGCATCTTCTTCGCTTCCCCGAACAGCATCACCGAACTGCAGCACGGCTCAGCCAAGACAGTGGCCATCCCCACCACAATGTTCCTCAGCTCCGCTCCACTACAGGGGGAAGACGTGGAAAGAGTGAGCACCGGGACAAAGTTTGCCCTGAGGCTCTGGCTGGACACTTTAGCGGTGCAAGCAGAGTGAAAGGATCAAAACTGGGAAGGAAGAGAAAGAAAGAGGTGGCAAGCCACATGGGGTATGATCCGGACTCAGCCACTGGATTCAATCCTAGTTTTATGCTGGCGGCAGTTGGCTCTCTCAATACCACTAAGGTTGATCAGGCTTCCCTTTTTGGGGTGTGTGTGGAGGGACTGATCTCATGGGGGTATTGTATTTTCACATTTTATTGTTCAGTGACCAAGGAGCAACAAGAGTTTCACTTCTTGCCTGGGCTTTCAGAGATGTAGGCACACTCCACATTAACAGGGGCAGGAAAGCAAATGAGGGCTTTTAAAAGTTTGGGTGTGTTGTTTTTTAGCAGAACCTGTCATTGTACATACTTAAAAGAGGCAGTCCACTGGGTAGCAGGGAAGAAATAAATGAACGCAAATGATAGGACGCATCTGAATTTCATACCATGAGTTCCAGAATTTTCTTTCATGTGCTTATCTGGTTCCTGTTCAAAGGACTAGCACATATGGGTTCCCTTCGCATTCAAGATGACAGAAAATAATCCGTGGAAGTTGGGTGGATTTGAAGCCCTGTCTTCTTGCTCAAAAGTCTTACAACTTGTTCACTGTGCCAACATGGCCCATGTCTAGCAACCACTGCCGTGCTTTTTAGGAAGGGGCAACACATCTTTTGTAATCAACTATGGCTATTCTTATTTTTAAAATATTGTTTTGTTTTGAAAACCCCAACAAAAATAAAGTGTGACGTATGGCTCCACTTTGCTGCTCTGCTCAGATTGGCAGCTGTATCCTATACCAGCCGCGGCTTCCAGCCTGCCTGCCAACTCTACAATTCAAGGGTAGCCCCGGGTGCAGCACGTTGCAGTAGTCCAGTCAGGACTCTCTTGGTCCAGGGACAGCCATAGCAGGTGAACCAGCTGAGGCTGGAAATTGGCACTAATGAAGTTAGAACTCCACAACAGTTCTTTTGTCAAGAATTTATTTTATCTAAAAGGTACTTTTTGCATATACACAATGGCTCCAAGCTGATAAAACAAAGAGATTCAATGGACAGAAAAAGGAGACCCAAAAGTGTAAAGCGAAGCAGTCCTCTTTTTTGCTATTGAGGTGCAGATGAAATGTTTTATGAGGTTAGTGAGATGAAGCAGGGTGTGTGTTCTGTCTGCAGACACATTGTTTTAAAGCAGTTGATAATGGCATTGAAAGAAAAAACAGAACCCCTGACCTTTCTTTGTCCCCAAATGCTCATTGTTAATGTACAAAACATACCGGTAAATATGCCTGTAGAGCTTGGCGGTTCTTCATGCGGCTGCCTGGTCTTAACCCCCACTTGATAAACAGCCACAAGGCTGCCCCCAAGTTCCAAGAAAGTGTCTTCCTGAAGGCTCCCCACACCAATCCTTGAAAGACAAATCAGGTCAGCGCAAATAGGTGCATGTGTTGTTGGAAGAGAAATTTGCAGTATCGCTTACCAAGATTTCATGCTTTGAAGGAGCTGGAATGTTGGCAATGCTCAGGAGGAATTGCTGGGGGGGGGTGTAATTGGGGGGGGGGAGGGAGGGAGATTTGAGGTTGGAAGATAAGACTGCAGCTGTAATATAGGGCAGGAGCTCCCTCCCCACCCCCGGCTCTTTATTTCTGGCTTCAAACCTTGCTCAAAGAATAGCCTCACATCACGACACTTCCCCTCCAAAGGACTAGAGACTTGAGTTTTTGTTTAAACAGAAATGGGAGTTTTCAGGAGATGAATGCCTAGGGCTGGGTGACAGGAGTCAGCGCGTTTTGCAGGCTAGGATTATAGATTTATGTCAGCTAGAAAAGAGGCGCCCCACCCACCCTGAAGGTGTAAATCTCTCAGCGTTTGGCCGTTCTAAGCAGATGCCTTGAAAAACCAACCCCCTAGATGGAAATGACTAGGGGACACCCAAGTCACACACCTAATGGCACATAATGAAGAACATAAGAAAGGCCTGCTGGATGAGGCCAGTGGCCCATCTAGTCCAGCATCCTGTTCTCAGTGGTGGCCACCCGGATGCCCATGGGAAACCTGGACAGCAGGATGTGAGCACACAAGTGCCCTCTCTCACCCTGTGGTTTCCAGCACCTGGTATTCTGGAGGCAGCAGTGAGCAGCTACTGATAGCCCTCTCCTCCATGAATCTGCCTAATCCTTTAAAGCCATGGAGCTTGGTGGCCATTGCTGCTTCCTGTAGGAGGGAGTTCTCAATTCTTCATTTCGTTTCAACTCTTCATTCTGGCTTCATCACCTTTCAGATTCAAAATATTCCCCCACTTCTTCTACAGCCGCAAATCACCAACGCAGATTAATACTGCCTGCCCGCCAAAGGATGCTCTGAAGAAACGGTGTAGTGTATTTGCATCCATTCAAGCCTCCTCTAAAACGTTAGTGAAATGATATATTGGGGTGGGGTGAGGTGAGGAAACTAATCTGCGTTAAAGCAAAGGTTGGATGACCTCCGAGGCACCAACCCTTACGCTGTAGTCTGGCAGACATAAGTGCTGCCGAAACGTAAGGCATTCCCTACAGTGGGAACTTCCAACAAACTCAAATTTGGATGGCCGTGAAGTATAGGGACTTTATGTGTTGCTACTTGGAAGCAAAGCGGTTCAAGGCGGCTTTGGCCCAGTGATGCTAGGAAGTTTTTGGGCTGCTTAATTCTGACTTCCACCTCACTTTGCCAGCTGATCCTTTTGGCTGGAGAGGCAGGGTTTGCGCCTTCTGCATGTAATGGAAGGGCCAACTATGGTCCCAACGCAGGGAGCGAATGTCTCCTATTACCTTCCCATTCAGGAACCTTAAATAAACTTCCAAGGAAGCCCAGGATTCATCAAAACCTCTTTCTTGTTCCAAACTCAGATTTAAAAGGAAACATGAAAGGAGGACTTATCGAAGTTCTCCGAGGAGTGGGAGATCTGGGTAACGGGCTACGCCAAATGGAGTTAACAGCTCTGATCAAAATGCATTGGAACATTTCCTGCCCTGAAATTGGGCATTTCTGGCTTTTTGATCTGCACACCGTGGAGTCTTTGTCAAGTGATTAAAAAAAGTAAAGTTGAAAAGAGGCCAAAGCTTCCTCATAAGGCTGTCACTGTTTTGCTGCATCTGGCTTAGGGCTCCTGTTGCTTTCAAGCAGGGAGAGATTTTATTCTTTAAGTTCTAAACTGCCTTTCAGGGCAGAACCACTCCACTCAAGGCTTGTTCTTCTTGTTGAAAGCAACAGGATTTGTTAGAAAAGGAAAAAGTGCTTAGCTTTCCAGAACACTGTCTTTCTCACCGCATCGTCTGGCTTGGAAAAGGCGAGACGGGCAGGTGCAGGAAGCGGAAAATGCAGAAGCAGCGGCTACAAACTTAAAACACACACACACACACGCAAAACAATTATACACTTAAATACATAAATAAAGTTTGTGCAATGGACGATGCGCTGCCCCCACCTGGGCAGGGAGGGAAGTGCAACCTTCATTTCGTCCTCGGAAGAGAGGGGGGGGGACACAGAAAAGATCTTTGGAGTTTCTTATGTACAAAAACTGAAAATATAGATTATAATAATTATATATATCTATATATATATATCTATATATATCTTTTTGTTCTCTGTACAAGATTGGCAGGAAATATTTTAAGAGGAGTGGGGACGGGAACCCTAGATCTACAGCTTTAGAAAAATACACTGTGGTAACAACAGTCTTGAGGATGGGCAGGTCCGCAGTGGATGTTGGTGATGGAGGAGAGGAGGACAGAGACACAGGGGCGCAAATCACGGGACTTTTAAGGGCATGCTGGTTTCGGAAGCGTCCCCCGGGGCTGCATCGTTAGCTTAAGTCCGAATGTCAAGGAAGCACAGCTAAGGAGGTACCTATGACAAAAAGTCAAGACAGTGTTGCCTGTGATGGGTCAGGTTTTGTGGGCAGTGGGGGGGGGCACAGACCCAGAAGTCACAGCCCATTGCTCTGTAGAGGGCACAAGCTCTCCACCCACCCGCGGCTCCCGTCAAGTGCGCACGCAGCCCAGGGGAAGAGGAGAAAACAGTCACGGAAGTCCCCAATGCGGGAAAGTCAGCAGGAAAGTGGAATCTCCGTTTCCCAGTCCTTTTGAGTCCTTGAGCTGCTCCAAAGCTCATCCCGGGCTTCTACCTCATCTTCATTATGAGTAAAAGAACTTTTTTTGCTTGCTGTCAGGCTCTCTCGAGTACAATAATCTTGAGAAGTTTGGGCACGTGGAGGATCTCTGAGAAATCTGTTTTTATTTGTGGCAAAACTCTCTCAGCTGGAACCGGCCACTCCTTACTGTGGAAGTGAGTTTCCTGTTATGCCCTCACCGGATGAGTCTGTAAAAATCTGCTGGGGGGGGGGTGGCTTTGGTTTTGGCAAATTAGTACACTGCTTTCAAGTCTCACGTTAGCCCTTCATCGGGCACATACAGTATGTCCTTCCCTAACAAAGAATTCTATCAAAATTCCACTTTTTTGTTTTTTTAATGCCAGTCTGAAATGGTCCAATATAACCTGCCTGGGATCTCTGGTCATTTGTTGCAGAGCTGGCGATGTGCTGAGTATGAGCTGTGCCCAAAGACCAAATTTATTCGTGCTTACGATAAAGTTGCCTTGATTTCACTGGCATTCTGCATTCACTGAGGATTCTGCATTCAAATCCCGGACAGAAGAAACCCAGGTTTCATGCTCAAAAAAAAAAAAAAAAAAGTGGAATTCTGCAACTCGGATTATATGTTGATGAGTCTTCATTTGCCTCATTTTGCATAAATAATCCTGCTTCCATTAGGCTGTGGGGACCTGGAACTCGGCCCTCCCATGACTGAAATTAAATCTTGTTTCCCCAGTTCTTCAGGGCTTTCTGGACTCCACCAGCTCAAAACTCCCAAGCAGCTCCAAGGCCAAATGAAAAGGCGAGATTCTTTGGGCCCCCCAAACTGTCCCGAGTCAATTCCATCATTTTTCAAACCTTGAGCGGAATTGCAGAATGAAAAAAAGAGCCCTGAAGGAAAACAAGAGAAAGATCTTTGCCCGATTTGTCTCTTTCTAAGAAACAGGCTTGACGGAATTCTGTCTTTTCCTTGTTTCACTCCAGTGGAGGAACGACGATTCCACCTCCTGCCCTCCTGTAGGGAAAGGGTATCTTCCATGCCGCAAGCTTTTAGTCTAGAGAGATGATATCTGGCCGGCACCCCGGCAAGATGGGGCTGCCCCCCACGGTGCCACTGCGCACGTGGCTTTCCCGCAAGGCCGTGGTGGGCGAAGAGACAACGCTGTTCATGCGGCTGCTGCTGCCGGTGGGGGAGCCCACGGTGCCATGGGACCCCACCACCACAGGAGCCAGGGGGTTCATAAAATGGGGTGAGGTGCCACGATACTGGAAGAAGTGGCTCAGGGTGTCTTGCTCATCCAGGGAGGTGATCACGGAAGGGCTGTAATGCTGTCAGGGAAGGAGACAATCAGTTATTTGATGCAAAACAAACAACAACAACGAGTTAAAAGGTATCAACCAAGGCTGTGAGCCGGCATGATCCATTATGTCAGAGGAGAGGGGTGGGAAAACTTCAGGGAAAACACTTAAAAACAAAACCCCTAGAACTCCCATGATCTTGTCTGCTGCCAAATAGACATGGATGTCAAATTAAAGGAAGTCTGATGTAAGAGCTTGACCCACGGAAACGAACAAACCCCCAAGTCTGGCACACAGACAAATAAACCAGAGCTTATTTCTCCAAAGTTTGGTTTCTTGCCTGGCGAGCGTGTGGAGTAGCCCCAAAACTTCCTAGTTGAAGAAGAGCCCTGGGTTCCTGCACATTCGCAAGCCACAGTTAACAAGGAGCCAAGGTCTGTAAGCATCAACAAAACTCTGGATTGCGGGCAGTGAAACAAAAGCACAATTAATCTGCTAGGCTGGGTTCAGACAATCAAATCAACCAGAGTTTCATACGATGGTTTAATAAGCTGTGGCTTGCATTATGAGCGAAGGATATCCCCATGAAAAGTGTAAGAGGAACTGTCAATTTACCAAGTCCGGCCAGACAGGCTCCCTGCTTCCCCACCCAAATCCAACAGGCAGCAACAGCTTTAAGAAGTCCCAGGAAAATCAAAACTCCTTTCTCTAAAGGCAGATAAAGGAGATGACTCTTGAGTTGCAGAGTCTTGCAGTTCATGAGGATTTCCTCGGAGTGGGAAGAAGGTGAGGCAACTACCACTAAGACCAATTAACATGCCTCTCACAAACATTTGTTGCTCAGGGACAGTTTGGAAAGGAGGAGGTGGGCAAAGTCCAGCGGAGAAAGAGAAACTGCCCCCTCACCACCCCTGCTTCAAAATCCAACTTTGTTCTCATCAGGTTAAGTTCCCTCGAAGTTTCTCAGATTGTTACTGGCAATCTCAGGAGCTGAGCTCGCTAGATCAAAGCAGAACATTTTGCAAGACAAGAGTGACTCTTTTGCAAAGATTTTTATAGGAGCTCATTGCACAACCTGAACTGCTAGCTCCAAGCCAGCCTCTCTGCAAGGGCTTCAGTGCAACAGCTCAGCTCTAAGGTCCCAGAAATATCACCCCAGACAAACGCAATTTGCTTTCCACGGAGCCAAGGGCTGTTAAGCTGTTCTTATTTCTCAGAACAGTTATAGGAATTCACACGGTGAATGCACTTTGAAAGGAAGGTGCTGGGGGGGGGGCAGCAGCCTGTCACCCACTGTAAAACAGACAGAGCGAAGCAAGGAGGTAGGAATTTGCAAGAGGCAGGGAAAAGACTGATTTCCCCCAGCCTGTGTTTGCTGGGTTAGCTCAGTGGCAAGAGAAAGGCTAGGTTTGCTCAAGGGTGAAGGGTGGAGAGAAAGCTCACTGGGTGGCTATGTTGCTGAATACATGGAGAAATGAAGACTGGGGAAGGGAGGATGGGGAGATGAAGGGAAAGGGGGGGGAACATACCTGATTTTCACTTTGAAGGAAGGAAAACAAATCCAGACCTAGAAAAATGAAAAGGTGAAAAAATAATCTTAATGGTAAAATGAACATATTGGAGGAGAAGAAGGGATTACAAAAAAAAGTAGTAAAGTTGGGAGGGGTGTAGGAAAAGATATTTTGGTCGTGGCAGGAGGGCCGGTCTCCATGGACACCGCAAAGGCCTTAGTGTCCTGGGAGGGCCTGCCAGGGTGGTGCCATTGAGGAGCACTCCTGGGATGGGTGACCCACCTGTCTCCATGCCCCCCCCCACTGCCTGCAGTGGCAGAGGGGTCCTCCTGTGAGCAACATCCAAGGAGAAAACACTGCCCCCTCCCTGCTGCACAGCTGAGGAAAGGGAATGTTGCAACACCCCCAGTCAAAAAGCTGGCATTGTCGTTTCGGCTGGAGCAGTATTGCTTGGCCTGGGGGGCACAGGGCACTGGGGTTCCCTTGGTATGGAGGCACCTAGTTTGGGGGCAGCCGGGAGAGAGACCAGTGGGGGGGGAGCTTCCTGGCCTTGTGGCTGGTGTGCAGAGAGGGAGCTGTGCCACACAGCGGCTGGCCCATGACATGCCAACATGCCTGACATTTGAAATGCAAGACCTTCCTCTCTGGGCCAGGTTTGGGTGGGTATTGAGCTGGCAGCTTTAGCCACCACAGTTACATCAGAATTTCCTGTCTGTCTGTCTTCAGAGCCTTCACCTTTTTTTACTTTTCGGACTCTGCCTTCTCTCCTCTCCTCTCTTGCACTGCCAAATCCCCAGGCCACAATTCCTTTGGACACAAACATACAAGCATCACAACAGGAATGAGGCTTATCAATCAGAAGGGGCAGGGAGCATCTGGCGGGATGGGGAGCGGCTCACTTTATACCAGGCGAGAGTGAGACTGTGTATTCTGCCAACTGAGCAACAATGGCACGCTGACACACACCAGATCCTGGGGGCTTTGCACAGCGTACGGCATCTCTGCCAACTCTTAACATTTCTAGTTCTCATGGTTTCGAAAACGCGCCAGGAAGGATGTGGGGTGGGCTTAAGGAGAAAATTTTAAAAAGTTTGCAAATAAGCTTACTCTGCTTATATCCACGCAGGTCACAAATATGTTTTCTAGGGTGTATTTTGGCATGGACAATCCCGAGCAAGCCATACGTTCTAACAGAGTTCATGCCTCTCAATCCTGCTCCATCCCACCACACCCTGAAAGCCAGGAGTAAGGTCGATTTGCCTCCCTGCCTGGTTCTGACCAGCAACCCTCAGCTCTCTTTCTCCGCAGGGCTCTGTGTCCACAGCTGCATCCTTCAGAGGTATACACTGGGATTGTGTAAGAAGCATTAGATTGGTTGTGGTTCTTCACAGCCTCTCTCATTTCTGAGGCTGTCCCTAGGCGCATTTGCATTCCAATAAAGGCCTCTCTTTTCACCTGGAGCCTGCATCCTTTTCTGCGAGGTATACTTCAGACCATTTAAATTTATCCAACATAGGTAGAGGGCACAGGGGAACAGGTATGGAACTGGGGGGGGGGCGATATCCCCAAAAAGTTTGGGAATCACTGGTCTAAGCCTTCACAGTGCAGAGAGTCCTGTGAAAACACTGTTTGGTTCTGACGGAATTAAGTTACCCTGCTCCTATGGGGATACAAAACAGAGCAACAAGGAACTAAACACAAACTTTGGCCCTGTGCTGAGCGATGCAGCCCAAATTACCTTGGATGTCCGAGGGGACCTGGTAAGGGTGGTAGTCAGGGATCGGAAGGCTGGAGAGGTAGTCGCTCCCCACAGTGGCCATCGGGGGGCTGCGCAGCACTGAGGAGGGCTGGTGGTCAGGGCTTAATACTCTGAAATGAAACAGAAGGACTAGGCTTGGAGAAGGAAAATAAAGGGGGCGCACATGGCAGACAGGTATCAAATCATATGCATGGTGTACTGGCAGAAGTCTTTCTCCCTCTCTCGTAATACTAGAACCCAACGGGGTCATCCAATGAAGCTGAACGTGGGAAGACTCAGGACAGACAAAACCAAGTCCTTCTTCACGCAGCACAGGACCTAAAACTATAGAACTTGCTCCAGCAGGAAGCAGTGAGGGCGACCAACCTGGATAGCTTTTAAAGGGTGGGGAGTAGGCGAATCCAATAAAACTATTGATGGCTACTGGCTGACGAGGGCTACACTGCCTCCACGGCTGGAGGCAGCAATGCTTCCAAATACCACTTGCTAGAAACCACAGGAGGGAACACAGCTCTTGTGTTTGGGTCCTACCTGCGGGTTCCCCACTGACCTCTGGTTGGTCCCTGTGAGAAAAGGATGCTGGGCAAGATGACCCCCCCCCTTTGACCTGATCCAGCAGGGCTCTCCCTATTGTTCTCTGCTCTTCCCCATTCTGATTAACCCGCTTAATCTGGACCTGGAGCATTCCGCACAAGAGAGTGGGTTCGATGAAACTATTGATGGCTACAGTAAGGATTCTGAATCCCAGTTGCTGGAGGACAGCACAGTCATGGTCTAGCATGCTCACGTCCTGCTAGCCGATTTCCAACGGGCACCTGGCTGACCACTGTGAGAACAGGATGCTGGATAAGATGGATCCCCCTTGGGCCTAATCCAGGCTCTTCTCAGGCTCCTACACTCCCTTCTTTCCACACAAGAAGGTTTAACCCAACAGAGGAAACACAAAGCGAGCCCCACCCCTTGGTTCCCGCTGCAGACGGGATGGCCGCAGTGGTGAGTGGGAAGGGCTTCTTGGCGGGGGGCTCCTCCTCATCCGAAGAGCTGTCCAGCGTGAGGTCGATGACCTCCACTTTCTTCTTGCCTTCGGCCAGCTGCTTCCCATCAGAGCCCACTGTGTACAGCGAGGCTGCGAAGAGGAGGAGAAGAGAGGTTAGGGTAGGCAAAGACAGACAGCCCTGCCGTAAAACAGCAGCAGGGCTCCGATCTTGAAACTCGTCAGCACTCAGGTTAGCACAGACAGCAGGGAGTTCCCTGTCGGCCCGTCAGGAAGGTGTGCAGTTGGGCTCCCTGATCCCTTCATCCCTGATCACTAGCTGTGTCAACCAGGAGTGATGGAATTTGGGAGTCGAGTAACATCAAAGGATGTAAGCTAGGCTGATTTAGGAAGGAGGAGCAGGAGGCGCTGCAGGGGTCCCAGGACTATGGCACTTCTGTTCCCAGGGTTTTGTATCTTGCCCCTGACATACAGACACGTAGGCAAGACTTGAAGAGCTTCTTCCTCTTCAAGGCTGCCTTTAATGGAGATCATGATTAGCTAGGATGTCTGAAGAGGAAGAGAGGGGCTGTGGCTCTGCCCTGCCCTGCCCTCTCCTCAACTGCTTATGCCTGGCTTGGCCGTGCCCTTGCACCGTGATTATAATACCTCTTGCCTGCTTAAATGCAGGAGGGGTGTGAGTACAAATCCCCAAATTTTGCACAACTACAATATCACATGCTGCAGAAAGGTGACATCAGTTGCTAGACAAAAAGTGGCAAAAGTGTGCCAATGCAGGAATTTACAGCCCTTGGGCTGGTCAAGAACTGTGTTTTCCTTGCTAACTTGGCTACTGTCTCTTTATCTCTTGCCTTGCTCTTGTCTGTCTGTCGTGAGGATCTGTCCCAAAATGCCACTCTAAAGTATTTTGGCTCTTCATCAATCTGCCATTAGCCATGACACTGCTAGGCCCAGACGAAAGGGCACCAGTCGAGGGCCCCATGAAGGCCAGAAGAACTCAAAGATGTCTCATCCTCTTCTAAAGCCACCAAGTTGGCGGCCGTCATTGCTGCCTCATGTGGGAGGGAGTTCCACAGTTTAACTCAGTGTTGCATGAAGAAGGGGACTTTGAATCTTCCTCCATTCAGTTTCAATCACACAACGGCCAACTAACATGCACAGGGAGGTGCCAGGCCTCCCCAGTTCCTCCTACCTTCCAGCCCATTGTAAGCAGATGGCTGGCAAACCTCCTGGTTCTCTTTCTTGGGCTTCATGGGGCACCAGGAGCCATCCTCCATGAATTGGATCTCATCGCAGTCTGTGACAGAGTTGAGGATTTCCATGAACAACCTGGGGGGAAGGAGGGGAAACAGAAGAAAACGTAGGGGCGATTCAACATCTGGACAGTGGCTGAAGTGCTGTAGCCCTAACCACCTGGAGGGCACCACTTTGGTGGAGTTTGTGATTACTATGATCGATCTACAGTCGGCCATAATCTTACATAGTCCCTACACCCTTCTTCTCTTCTTCGTGCACAAAAAGGAGGAGAGGAAGCTTCCTCATTCCTTTAGAACAGGGGTAGCCAATGTGGTCCCCTCCAAAGGCTTTTGGACTACAACTCCCATCATCCCTGACAACTGCAATGCTGGCTGGGGCTGATGGGAGCTGCAGTTCAAAAACATCTGGAGGGTTCCAGGTTGGCTGCTTTGGAACTCGCCACAGTTCAAACTCCAGAAACCGTGACTCGTTTTAACAAACGTTGAATAGAACCAACCACAGGTCCAAGTTTGTACGTGGCATAGCACTGTGGTTTGTCCTTAAAGCAAAAGCAGGTGTCTGCATGGAGGGAAAGTGGAGGAGAGCAATGCCAAGCCAGACGGTCATCATGGTTTGTTCGCCAACAGGCCACACAAAAGATGGACAAAACTGTAAGCATGGCTGCAATTCTTGAAGAGCAAAGATGGCGGACAGAATGTGGCTTCTGGAGAATCTCATCTTGTACTAAATCATTTACTAATTTACAGAGGTTGTGGAACCATTGATTTCTAGGTAATAAAACAGAACATCTATGCAGCCATAAAGATAGACAACACCACCATCCCTCCAGAATTTAGTAAGTCTGATGGCAAAAGCTGTGGGCAGGGGGGGTCATGTGGGTAGAGGGAGCCTGACCTCCGAGCCTCCCCCAGCATTACCCGTCAATGATCAAGGCCTCGTAGGGGGCCTTCTTGTCACAGACAGGGCAGGTCCAGGTGGGCTTCTTCTCATTCATCTGAAGGTAAAGGGCTGCGTCAAAGCACTGCAGGTGGGTGCAGGTGAAAGCTCGGCAGGGGACGATGAGCCTCATCTTGCCCAGCTGAAAGGAAGAGGGAGTTTATTTATCATCATGTATTTACTGCATTTATATCCCACCACTCTTGAGTGTTAAGAAATTCTTGCTGGTTTACTTCAAATTATCCAGAGATCTACCAGAAGATCTCAATCCACCTTCCGCCCACTCTGGTCCAGATCGCAGACTGGGAGCCCTTTGCAGATAACACTGGTACTGGTGAAATTTCACTGACAGAAGCTTCACATAGAAACTCCCTATGCTCACATACCCTGCCATTAAGCTTTCATGGGGGCTGCAAGCTTTAGTGTAACTAAAGCTTCTAGCAGCTGCCAGATTAGTACCGTATTTTTCGCTCTATAACACGCACCTGACCATAACACGCACATCGTTTTTAGAGGAGGAAAACAAGGAAAAAATTCTGAATGAAACAGTTGATGTATCATTTTTGTGCTTCATGCTGTGGCCACAGACATGTGATCTGATGGTGAATTTGGGGTAGCTCAATGCAAAGATCCTGAGGATCCATGTGGATCCATGCTTTTTAACCACATTTTTGCACCATTGCAGCCCCAGGCAACAGTGGGTGTGTGATTTTTGGGGGGCAGGCTGCTATGTGATCTGATGGTGAATTTGGGGTGGCCCAATGCAAAGATCCTGAGGATCCATGTGGATCCATGCTTTTTAACCACGTTTTTGCACCATTGCAGCCCCAGGCAACAGTGGGTGTGTGATTTTAGGGGGGCAGGCTGCTATGTGATCTGATGGTGAATTTGGGGTGGCCCAATGCAAAGATCCTGAGGATCCATGTGGATCCATGCTTTGTAACTACATTTTAAGTGGGGAGTGAAGGAAAAACACAGAAGGGACAAGAGAGCGGTGTGCAGAGAAGCAGCTGGCTAAGAAAGCAGGAGAGGGATTTTACGGGAGGGAAGAAAGAAAGGCAAAAGTTTCCACAAACCGAAGCCAGCTTTCTCTCTCCTCCTGCATGTTTTCTGGCTGCCTGCGAGGAGCACGGAGAGGAATTAGAAGGAAAGACCTCTGCTTTCCCCTCTGCTTGCCTGGAGGGGAGGGGATTTGCCTGCTCTTTGTTCCGTTTGAGCAAACACAGCAACGAAACAGAGGAGGGTGGGCAGTAAGACCCTGAGGCAGAATGCAGGAAAGCAACCACTTCCTCTTTTCAGGTTTCCCTCTCAGACACAACGCACGATTGATTTTTGCTGATTTTTGTTCCTGCGCTCCCCTAATCGGCTCCAGGGACCCCCCCACATTCGCTCCATAACACGCACAGACATTTCCCCTTCCTTTTTAGGAGAAAAAATCTGCGTGTAATAGAGAGAAAAATACGGTAATTGCCCGTTATTGGAAGCGTCCTGAAGTTTTACTGTTTTGAGTCTGGAACGTCACTTTGTTGGAACGCCTGACCAGACACAGATGGGAGAGGCCGAATCTGACAACTTCAATGCAGAATGATTTCCCTTCTTTGAACGTCCCTCCGGATTTTCATTCTTTGTTATGAGGGGTATTCAAATACCATCTGATACTCAGTGAAGCAATATTGTACACTGGTTTGCTGTTATTATTTTATTCCACAGCTCTGTATTACTTTTTCTCTGTCAACCTATTTTGTGTGTGTGTCTACATATTCTTGTATAAGCGTAAAAAGAAGAGAACTTTAGTATAACTATATCAACCTAAATGTAATCACAGATGAAGAGGGCATCTTATTCAGGGCATCAAGCAAAGGCTGGGCCTTGCCATCAGATGCCTCCTGTTCAGAGAAGCACAGAGCGGCACGGAAGCTTCGTTTTCTGCAGCGCCCTGGAAGCAGGCTCTGCTGCAGCGCTTGGGAGTCCCCAACTGGGGCCTCACACTGAATACAATGAGCAAAACTGCTGGAGTGGGATTTTCCTTGTGCTCAGGGAAGGGCTGCTGATCCAGTGGAGCCACTCACTAACGGAAGAGGGGGGAATTGGGTCGATTCTCCCTGCAGTTCCCAGGCTTATTTTCCACCCTGTTCTCTCAATGTTCTGAAGTCGGCTTGAGAGAGAGAGAGTTGCAAGGGGAGAGGGAAAGCCCTCTGGGTCTCTATGCTCAGGTTAGAAGTTGTGACCAGGACAAGGACTTAAGAAGAGCCCTGGCAGATCACACCAACGGCCCATCTTAGCCCAGCATCCTGATCTCAGTGGCCAACCAGATGCCCCAATGGGAAACCAGCAGGCAGGACCCCAGCACAAGAGCAACTCTCCCCTGCTGTAGTTTCCAGCAAGTGGTATTCAGAGGCATTGCTGCCTCTAACTGTGGAGGCAGAGAAGAGCCATAATGGCTAGAAGCCATCAATAGCTCTCTCCTCCTCTATGAATTAGTCCAATTTATTTTTAAGCTATCTAGGGTGGTAGCCATGACTGCCTCATGAGGGAGCGAGTTCCAGTTTATCTAGGCACTGCATGAAGGACTTTATTTGCCCTGAATCGTCCAACATTCAGCTTCTCTGCATGTCCCTGAGCTCTAGTGTTAGGAGAGAGGGAGAAAACCTTTTCTTTATTCACCTCCTCCATACTCGTCTTTTCTCCAAGCTAAAAAAATCCAAATGCTGCTGCCTTTCTCCATAAGGGGATTTGCTTCACCCCCCTTGATTATTTTGCTGGCCCTTTCCTGAACCTTTTCCAACTCTACAATATCCTTTTTTGTACACAATATTCCGAGGACAGTTGCAGTACAGATTGGCATGACAGCATTATATCAGCAGTTTTATCTTCAGCTCCTTCCCCAACGATCCCTAGCATGGTATTTGCCTTTTCCACGGCCGCTGGGTCGATATCTTCATCAAGTTACCTACCACAACCCCAGGGCCTGTCTCTTCCTGGCCAGATTTGAGAGTATATGGAAAGTTAAGGGGGGAGGGTTTTGCCCCTAAATGCATCTGAGATTAATTATCTTTGGTTCAGCTTACAGCTGCCTTCACTAACCCCGTGCCCTCCAAATTTTCTGGATTACAGTTCCCAACTCAGCAAAGGCTGCTGTAATCCAAGACACGTGGAGGGCACCAGCTTGGTGAAGGCTGGCTTGCAACATTATACAAAATCAAAGCAGAAACAACAACAGGAGAAAGGCGATTTTTGTGCATAACGAGCAAATCATCAGTTGCAGGTTCCAAATACATATTTATGAGCTTGGGCTGGAACAAGCTCCTCATCTGTTTTTGGACAGATTTGGTTTAATTCTCAAGGCAGATTTAGAGTGTTTTGGTGGTTCTTCATGTATTTACATATATACTGCTTCATGTGAAATAAAGAGATAAAAGGAGAAACCCGACATACCGGACACATGAGAGAAACTCGTAAGCTCGTTGTCGCTATCTCGCTGTCGGGATCGGCTGTCAGTTTTTCTTTGACTGTGAGGTGTGGGGAGAGAAAGCAAAGAGCCCACTCAGTATTAGGAAAACACAATGATGCACACTGTATGGGAACAGCCATGGCTCCGGGGTGAAGCATCGGCTGGCATGCAGAAGGGAAATGGTTCATCTCCAGGAGCAGCTGGGGAAGACCCCTGCCTGAAACTTGGGAAAGGTGATGCTTGTCAGGGTAGACCTGAGCTAGATGGACCAAGGGTCCAACTCCGTACAAGGCAGCTTCCAATTCCCCCCTAAACACCTGGTGCGCGAGGGCGAGACTCCACTCTGCAATCTCTTTTTACACCGGGACTTAAAAAAAATATGATCTGGAGCAGAGCTCTGCTCCACATTTAGCCTGGATGAACAATTTGCTGCAGGCTGGAGGGCAAACAGATCATAGAACTGTAAACTGGAAAGGACCCCAAGGGTCATCTTGTCCATGCCCCTGCAAAGCAGGAATCCTGCCCACAGCCGTCCCTGGGTGGGCTTGAACCACCAACCTTCTGGTTAACAGTCAGACATACTGACCCATTGAACCATCCAGTTCTGGGAGTAGTATTCAATGGGTGCTTCTCTTTGCACTAGTGGGCAGCACTTCTGCTCATGAGAGATGAAGCACATGACTTTCATCAGTCCCCAATACACAGCACAAGGGCTGCAGTGAGCCAAGATGATAGTAAAAGGTGCTTTGCCTTGTGTGACTAAGAGAGCTTTTCACTAGTGCTAACCTACCACCTGGAGGTAATTGCAAGAAAAAAGCACACACATCCCTGACGCAGAATCACAAAGTTGGAAGGGACCCCGAGGGTCACATACTCCAACTCCCTGCAATGCAGGAACCACAACTAAAGCATCCTTGACAGATGCAGACAAGATTTCAAAGGACAGAGAACTTACTCAGGGCTCGTGAGTGGTCTGGGTTTCGGATGCCCTTGGCTCTCAGTTTCTGTAGCAGTGTCACCGATGTCAACTGTTTCACCAAATAAACTGATAGGGAGTAATTCTAGGCAGAAGGAAACCAATTATTATTCACTGTTGTACAGAGGAATTAATGTATTTGCTGATCTAAGTAACAGGCTAAACCCCAGCTCTCGTCCATTGGCTGCAGGTCTCCCTGCCCTTCCTAAACCATTGGTTGAGCTTTGCTGATGTCATGGAATGTTCACAAATGTTTAGCTGCCAAACTGGAGAGGCTGCTCACAGGATGTTCAGTTTATTTATTGCCGATCACCTAATTGGGACAGGCGCTTTCATACACACAGTTGCAAGAGTGGACAGGAAACTGGAATAATTCTGTTCACACATGGGGAGAAAAGAGCAACATAAACCACAAAGCTTCTCCTTACCCTGCCAAACTCAGAAGACCAGTTCACGACGATTGTATTAGGGACGGTGGCCGAAAGCCGCACCAAAGGGGTGATGTTGATGGGTCGACTGGGCCGCTTGGGCTCTGCCCCATTTTTGGTGGGGGGAAGATAACCCTGCAGAGGCAGAAGAGGACATCTGAGGTCAAGCCCCTTGACCCTTTGCCAAGGCTGGACATACAGGGAACCAAGAATAAGGATGGTGGGTGAGTCATCAAGGGGCCGCAGTCACTAGTGTGCATTCCAGAACACCACCACTAATAATAATAATAATAATAATAATAATAATAATAATAATAATTGTTTATTACCTGCCCTTTACCTTAAGGTTCCAGGGCAGGTTACAACATTATTATACTGTCAGGTTTAGGGTCCTGACACCCCCAGAACTTTCCTGATATGCATGCCTGGTCTCTCAGACCCCAGGGCATGTACAGAGTTCAGCAGAGTAACTCAGCAGAGTGTTGGCAGCAAATGAATCACACGAACAGCTCACTCCATCAGCAAATATGCTTTACTGAAGCATTTCAATAGGCATTGCAGTTGCTAGTCCTCAGCCAGATCCCTGACTGGGTGCATAGCTCAAAAAACAGTTACAAAGAGATGCCGGCAAACTGCATAGCTTGAAAACAAAAGAAAGACTGACTGACTCTCACACCTGCGTGCAACTATATAAGGAGGGCTCAGACAGCCTGGAACCTTCCGGTCAGCAATGAATACTAATGAGAAAGGACTGCTGAGTCACATGTGCAATATTTAAAGCCGTTTAAAACAATCAAAAAAATAAGGGAGATGTAATGAGGAAAGTGCTTCTTTGAGACACTATGTAAACTATACACCAACTATATGGGGTTTGACAATAGGTAAGCACCGGTGCATAGTAAATAGGACTTACCACGCCGTTTCTGGCTAACTTCTGGCAAAAAGTGTCTAGGACACTACTATTAAGTCTCATTGAGGTACCTTTCCTTAAACAGTAAGATGGACTCACACCGCCCTTTACTTCTGGCAAAAAGGACTACTATTAATTCATAAGAAAGATGAATGGTGATGGAGGCTGTTGCCCTGGTGTAATATTGTACTACAAGTGCCAATGTAACTGTTCAGGGTTGTATTGATTGTACTATAACATTAAAAGACATTATGTTGAAAAGTAATACGGATGATCAGGGATGTTCTGCATGCAAAGGGTGCACTTTTGCCAATGAGCCGTTGGTCCCTTTACGACAGAACCGAGGAGCCGGTGGGGAGGAGGGGCTCTCACCGGAAGAGGGCAGAGCTTCCCATTGATCTTGACAAACAAATTGGGTGGGAAATAGTCCTCTTGCGGGCAACTGGTTTCACACAAACAAAATCTGCAGAGAGGCAAAGAGACCGGAAGGGTGAGGGGAAGACTACCCCAAGGACAAAATGGTAACTAGAGAGGAGGGGGAGTTTCCCTGAGTCAAATTCCTTATTAAGAGAGATGGATAAATGAGAACACAGAATCACAGAATTATAGAGTTGGGTCCCCAAGGGTCATCTAGACCAACCCCCCTGTAATGCAGGAATAACAGCTAAACCACTACGCAGGCAGGGCCTCCTAAGTTGCTCGGAGCTCTTAAAGGGCAGGACTCAGGGATTTTGCTCATTTGTAACTACACAAATGGGGAGGGGGGCAGGTTCAAGGGCAGGCCCACCTACAGCACTTCACAATAATACAACCTAGAAGTCTCCAGATCATGGAATACATTGGCCAAGTGATAGCTGGCCAACCAGCCTTGGTTAAGGTTGAGCCAGGACTCATATACAAGGAAAAAGCACCCCAGAAGCCAGTCCCTAAACAGTGTGATATTTGTAGAGATGTATTTTTCCGTTTTGTAAAAGCCCAAGAAAACACCAGGCTCTGCTTACCTCAGTTGTACCTGGACGGTGTAGTCACATTTGGCAGCAGGTAAGATATCGCTGGAAAAAGGGGGGGGGGGGAGGAGATATTCTTAAATTTCCCAGAACAGTCAAGCTACTTGGAAATACTGTCATTATACATTATAATACAATACGTAACAGGCTGAAACCTACTTTTCAGGTTAGATTTTTGTTTTGTTTTTAAAGAACACATACACAACAAAAACCAACCCTCCACCCCCCACTGGCTGAGCTTCTGTGACATCACAGAGGGCTTGTGGGCTTTCTAACAGCAGAGGGGAAACAGCCTACCACAGATTGTTGCTGGGAGGGAAATGGGAGAACTGTTGACCTGCGTGGGGACAGGGAAGAACCTTCTCTTTGGCTTGTGGCTTGGAACATCAGAGTCAGCCTACAGTTAGAAAATTAAAATTACAATAAACAGGGAGCAGAGGGCTGGCACTTCACGCAGCAGCAGCAGCAGCAGCAGCAGCAGCCTGGAAGGGGTTCTCTGGTTTAAGAGCACAATATGAACCTGCTGGATTAAGCCAATGGCCCCTCTAGCCCAGCATCCTGTTCTCACAGTAGCCAACCAGGTGCCTGTGGAAACCTGCAAACAGGATTTGAGCACAAGACCACTCCTCTCCTGTGGTTTGCAGCAACTGGTATTCCAAAACACTGCTGCCTCCCGCTGCCCCCCGGGCAGAGCCTAGCCATCAAGGCTAGTAGTCATCCACAGCCATCTCTCCCAGGAATTTGTCTCAGCCTCTAGGCGGATGGCCATCCCTGCCTCCAGTGGGAGGGAGTTCCATAGTTTAACTATGTGCTGCATGACTTTCTTTCACCTGCCCCTGAATCTTCCAACCTTCAATTTCTATAGCAAGCAAGATGCTGTCATTTGCTGGTCCACAGCCCAGGCCTAGAACTGTGCCATTGTCTGGAGTTACAGCAGGGAGCCAGTGGGAGATGTTTGGCTATGCTGCCCCTGACTGCTGCCAGTCTCCGCAGCAAGCAGCCCCCATTCCTGCCCAAACTCTTGCTAACAAATGTGGTACCTAAGGCTTCGTTCAAACTGACCACAGTCAAATTATAGGTGGTCAATTAGTAGCATTTGACCAGCGTGCTAAGCCTGGTGGCCAAACTTCTAGTTTATTTTTAAAGTAACTCTTTATATATGAAGACCGCAGCAGGGAAGAGTAAAAACCTTCTGGAACGCCCATTTTGGTTGCATATATGTTTATGCGCAGCTGCCTCTGTTGGTGATACCCATGGCGGGAGCGGGGTTGAAGTTTGGGAGGGGGAAGTAGGTTATATTAAGAAGCCACTTAAAGAGGATAAAACCTGATATGAGGGAACTTTAAAATGAAATTATATTACAGTTATAAACACCAAGGACGGGTGAGCAGGAAGTCATTAGTATTGCAGAATAGGATTATAATTATTGAGTGTTAAAATGTAATTTTGAATCTTGAAATCAGATACAATATTGATATTGGGGGTGGGGGGGATGAGATCTTTAACTATCCTCTGAACAAAGAAAGGAGCCAGCCTGGTTGCCTTGTTCTACTGTAGACTACCTACTTAGGCTAGAACTAAAAAGTTACTCCCTAAATTGTGTATTTCCGACAATAAACATAGCTTCAATACTTTCTTACCTACAAACATCTCTCTCTCTCTGTATGTGTGAAAGCAACAGGAAAAGCCTGCTCTCTAAGCAAGATTCACTGGTTTAAACACAACTCATCCTGCATACTATCCCATTAGTTTGTTTGTGTGGGTGTATGCGTACATGTGAAAATTGATTTGAGGTGTGGACGTGTTAGTCGATGTGGAATTTGTGTGGGTTTTGAGTGAATAGAATTGTAAAGTTAACTAAGTCCTGCATTATTGTTTTTTTCTTCATGTTTTATATACTGTATTTAATTTTGTTTTGTTTTTTCCCTTTGTAAACCACTTTGTAGGCGTTTGTGGTGAAAAGGAGAATGCAATACTTGAAATAAACATCCTGGTTGTAGTATTGCTCTTACGTTGCTGGCTCAGTTCAGACACCGCACCACAGTTTGTATCAATCATAGTTTAGAAACAAGCCAAACTAGGGTTTACCAGATGCTTATTTGATTTCATTTTCTGTCTGGCTGAGCACTCCTGTTTTGAGGCAAAGAACCGGTTGTCACTTTGGTTTGCCAATTCAGACACTGCACAAAAGAACGATACTTAGTCCTAATGCGTAACTAAAATTTCCTGATGCTTAGTGCAAACCACGGTTTGCAGGCACACTTCAAACCAGCTTCCGATTCCAGTTTCTCAGGCAATCACAAACTGTGGTTGTTAAGCTCAGACATCACACCAGTTAAGCACCCTTGACTGTGGTTTCATACGATGTCTGCACTCAGCCATTGCATTTTGTGTGTGTGCTGAAAGAGCTACAAATCCTAAACAGAAAATAAAATGGCCCTTACCGAGAGGCAAGGATCTGCTGCACCTGCTGGGGAGTCAGGGCAAAGGTGAAGTGAGCCTCCTCAAACCTCTGGCTGTTCACAGATGCTGCAAAGAGAAAAGGCCAAAGGCCAAAGTGATCAGACAAGGCCGTAATCAGAAGCCCACAGGGGAGGCCAAACCAAGAGTTCTGCTATGCACAAAGGAATCCTGAAACAGAGGGGGGGGTGGAGCTCAGCAGGCTCCCTGGACCACCTATTTGCCCTCTCCATCATAGGTGGAATGGAAATGGGCTCCACATGCTTATCCCTGGCTCCTTAATGTCTAGCACAGGGATGGGGAAAATGCAGCTCTCTGATATCCTTGGACTCCAACTCCCATCGTTCAGCCCTAGCAGTCAGCATGGCCAATGATCAGGGATTATTAATACTATTATTACACTTAATTTATTAATTGCCTTCTAAACTGCCATCTCAACTAGGTATACACATAATTCAAAACAGTTCAAAACACAAGCACAGCTAACACATTGCAGCAACAGTATTGCATGGAGGTAGAGAGGAAACTGGTGAAGAATCACCAGTGTGCACTACCAGTTGGGAGGGAAGGAATGAGTCAGTGGGGGACCATGCGCTCTGCATGCGGAAGGACCCAATCCGTGGCATCAGAAGTTAAAAAACGGATCCATGTGCAGCAGGTGACAGTGAAGACCCTCCCACCCAAATCCAAAGCTGCCGACTGGCCATCTGATCTGGTTGAAGGCAGCTTCCTATGCACCTCAATATATAGATATTTTGGACTACAACTCCCATCAGCCCCAGCAACTATGACCAGTCCCAAACATCTGGAGGGCCCTATGTTGGGGAAGTTTGGCCTTCACAAATCAGGTTCCTGTGCACAACTTGCAAAGCAAAAAAAAAACATTACACAAAATAGTCAGGGAAGGCAGAAGGCATTGTGCAACTTGCACAATTGACACAGATAATGGAATTTTATTTTCTTTCAGTGCAGAATGCATAGTGCCTGGTGTATATGAGACTAGAATCTCTGTGTCTCTGTACTGACTCTCTCTCCTACCATTACAGGGTGGGACGCAGGCAGCTCTGCCCCTCAGCAGAAAAATCTGAAAAATGCTAGGCCTGGGATAGAGACATTCCCGGGCCCTGCAGGTGAAGCCAAGGCAAGAACTATCAGTTAAACATTCCTGCAGCACTTCATGGCCTCCGGAATGAGAACAAGGGCCCTTTACCCCTCCTCAGTCTCACTGTGGTTCTACTGCAAAACACATGCCACTCTATATTATTATTATTATTATTATTATTAAGCTGGCATTAGCTCACCAACACTCTTGCCATGACAAATCTGCCAATTTTTCACGTGCCATAAGACACATATAATTATTTTTGGATCTGACAATCAAACCAAAACTTGCAAGGATTTGACAGTGGTCTCCCTTTACCTTCTCTTTCCATCTCCTTGGACACACACAAAGCACTAATGCTTTGTTAAATTCTCAGAAGTATAGGAATATTCGTCTCTACACATTTGCTTCTGCACATGACTGTGGCATGATGGGAAGCTTTGCTGCTAAGCTTTGCTTCTGTACATGATGCTGCACAAACCGTTCTTAAGACATTCCCTCATCATCCCAGAATGTTCAGTGAGTTCATGAAAACATTACACTTTGACCTGTTCTTAATGCATAGTTGACCACATCTATTGGAAGGTAATTGTTTAAGTCTTAATATATTAATCACTAGTTATACTTTAATTAAGAGGTTTTCGTGCCTGTCTAGTTCTGTGCTCCCTTTCCCAGCCTTTAATCTATTGGTGATTAATGCCTATATGTAATCTTTGCTTTGTACTTGTGTTAACCAATCAGCAACCAGCACATACGTGGCAATGCATGTAATATTCAATAAAAGAGACTCCTCGAGACTTGCTCGAGAGGGGCCTCCCACATGACACTCGCTACTCGTCTGTCGCTTATTTCAACCCAACACAGAAGAGTGTTAATTTTTTGGAATCTTGGGACTCAACAAAAATTGTCTCACTGAGAAGCTTCTTAATCTGTCCCCTGGTTTCAGTGGCTCATTTTCCACAGCACAATGAACCATGGCTTGCCCTAACCATCATTTAGCACCCCACTCACAACAGACAAAAGGCAATCCCAGGTGTAGAGCTGCTTGCCTCTTTCCATTTTCTTCTTCTTCTGTTGATTATTGGACTGATTAAATAATTTAACCAGAACACAAACTCTGCCGCACAAACTATACCCGCTCCATCCTGTAACATATGGTTGTATTAAAGCCTTCCTTAGACTGACATCGACTTTTGGGCTCTCTCTGCTTATACGAACCTGACGAATATTATTTAGATCTGAACTATGCTTTCAGGATTGGGGGGGGGGAGGATGTTTTGTTTGTCATTTTTCAATATGTAACTCAAATTGGCCAGTCGATTTTTCATTTTCTATCCCTTCAGCATTCAACTTTGTAAGTTCACCTCAATGTCTATGGCATAGAAGACCTTCAGGGTCGAGCAACAGCATAACTAAGATTTAGGAACATAGGGAGCTACCTTATTCTTGTTGGGATTTGAGTTCCCACCAGCTGCAAGGTAGCAGCACATTGCTGACATCATGTGATGTCTCTGAGCATGAGACAGGAAGTCTCAGCTGGCTCCCAGTGCAATGGGAGAATGTACTTTCACTTCTGAGGTAGAAGTTGGGAGTCGAGCCGTAGCTGCTCAGGAAAGCAGACATGCTTGTATTAGCTCCGTGTACAGTCGTGAGTTATACTACGGACTGTCTTTCTTCTGTCATGGAATGCCAGAAGCGGAGTGTGCTCCTCTCAAGAGGGAGGAGTCGCTTATTACCTGTCTCTCTGGACTGAGGGAGGATTCCAGCCAGAGAGAAGCCTTGGGAAGTTGGCACCCTTCCCGGGGGGGGGGGGGCGTTTTTCCAACAATTCTGAGCCAGGCCACTGGTCCATCTAGCTCAGTACTGCTTACACTGACTGGCAGCAGCAGTGGCTCTCCAGGGTTTCCACACAGGGGACATGCCCAGCCCTACCTGAAGAAACCAGCAGGGATTGAACCCGAGACGTTTTGCAGGCAAAGCAGCTGCTCTATCGCCAAGCCTTGACCCTTCCCTTCCATTTGTCATCACGCCAAACCATAGCTAACCACAAACCCAGGTTTGCAAACCCACTTCAAGCCAAGGCTTGCTGGCCAATTGCAAATCATGATTTGTCAATTCAGACATAATGGTTTCCTCTTGTGGCATCTTATTTCCCCTGGCTGGCGCCGATGTTTTGGCAGAGAGAGTTTGCAAGCTTCTGGGTTCCACAGCACTCTTCATCCCTAGCCATCTCAAGATCTAGAGTCAGTAGGGAGGAAAGGGCAAAAAGGAAGAAACAGCTAGGAGGACTTACCCAACGTGGTGGGCTTGATGAGCTCGTCGTATACATCGTAGAAGGGCAACCGCCGCATTTTCACGTCCGGGTGAACCGGGTGGATGGGGGGAGACAGGTGTGGGACGTCCGCCTCATGCTTGGGTCCCAACATAGGCACCGGGGGCAACATGCCAACCGGCACCCCAGAGGTCACTGACCCGTTGTCATAGGGCAAGTGGCACATGGTGCCCTGGGTCAGCGTCGTGGTGGAGGGCAGCTGTCCCGCCTGGAGGTGCAGCATGGATAAGTCCGAGGGGGTGAGGATCTTCCGGGGGAACCGTCGCCGGTACAGCTCCTTGATTTTCATCTGAACGGCCGGGCTGCAGCCAGACTTCAGCAGCTGCAGGGCCTTGGTGAGCAACTCATGCTTCCTCCCGCTCTTGTTTCTGCCCGCAAAACCCAGAAGCACCTGCAGCTCCGACACTCTAAAGCTCATAACCATGTGCTGGAAAGGGGTAGAGAGGGGAACAGAATATTTAGAGAAGTATACAGATTTTGAGATGGCACTCCCTGAACCCCAAATTTTAGTGCTAGCCATCTCTGGCATTAAAACATCTGATATTGTACACATCTGGTATCCTACTCAGAATGAAGCACCTATCCCCGGCTCCTGATTCCATCTACCCAAGAACCAAACTGACTCTGCAGGATTTCCAGTTGTGAGGGTGGAAGACGGGTGGGTGGGGGGTACTCCTAGACAAAAGGAAGGGAAAGGGGTGCTGCTTAGGGCACAGAGTTTGGGCTAGAGAAGCAAAAGCCTGGGGAGGAGGAGGAAACATTCAGGTTCACTTCACCCCATATCATCAAGAAAGAAATGGGAGGGGAATTGATGTTTTTTTAAATGGAGAAATCGGTGGAAGAAAACATTTAAGACGAGTTTTCTAGAACATAAGGAGGGCCTGCTGGATCAGGCCAAGGGGGACCTATCTAGTCCAGCATCCTGTCCTCACAGTGGCAAACCAGATGCCCCAATGGGAAAGCTGCAAGCAGGATTCAAAAACGAAAGAGCGCGCTCCCCTCCTGTGGCTTGCAGCAACTCGTATTCAGAAGCATTCCTGCCTCCAATCATGGAGGCAGAACATAGCCATCATGCCTAGCACCCATCGATAGCCCTCTCGTCCATGAAATTGTTAATGAAATTAATAATGATGAATTTGGTCCAATCCTTCTCTTTCAGATCTGCAAGTAAAATACTTTTTAAAGCAAGAGTTTTAAAAATACTACTTACACAGCTAATTCATAGTCCTGCACACCTCCCAGTCAGATAAAAGATTCAAAAGCAGTAATATCAGCAACTGCAGTGCTGATGTACTTGATCGGATGGCCAAGCAAGCAACAATTCTAGGATGTGGTCTGGAAAAACGCTTTCAGATGTTGCCAAACGCAGACCATCTTCAGGTGCTTCATAAATGTGTGCAGCCTAAAAGGTAAGGCGTTTCAACCTTCTGGACCTGGCCCTTAGCTCATGAAGTCACCCGCAGGAACCCGAAACATTCTCTCTCTCTCATTTTCCCAAATGGCAAAAAGCTCTTATCACTAGTTCCTAGATACATTCACGGTTGCCATTTCAATAAAACTAAGGCATGTATACTTTTAAAAATTGCATAGCTTTATCTTAAAAATAAAAAAGTCAAGCAGTGTGTAAATTGTGTGAAATAAATAAATACGCAATACAACTGTGAGCACTAAGATATACATTAAATACGCACACACTTCATATTCTCAAACCAGCAAAATAAGTTTAGGGTTAATGAGAAAGCACTGCATGCAATACAACTTTTTCCTAAAATCCCCCCCCCCAAACACTTCCCCCAGGTTTCCCCAATGGCTACAAATTGTTTTGGAATGCAATACCTTTAGCCAGTCTTGCCCCCCAACCCCTGCAATGAAGCTGCCTGCTTCTTATCGTGCTACATTATAGGCTAAACCAGGTGCCAGCAAACTTTTTCAGCAGGGGGCCGGTCCCCTGTCCCTCAGACCTTGTGGGGGGCTGGACTATATTTTGAAAAAAAGTATGAACAAATTCCTATGCCCCACAAATAACCCAGAGATGCATTTTAAATAAAAGGAGACATTCCACTCATGTAAAAACAAACTGATTCCTGGACCGTCCGCGGACCGGTTTTAGAAGGCGATTGGGCCACATCTGGCCCCCAGGCCTTAGTTTGCCTACCCATGGGTCAAACCATCCCAAAGAATTGAGGGGGAGCAGGACATAATCTACATTCAAGAGGCATTAGGTCACACTTGGAAACTTAGGAGTGGGGGGCAGGTTAGCCATTAATGTTTCCCAAGATCTGCATCATGCCACGGTGGTCACCTGAGCTCAGTGGCAGAGCACCTGCTTTGGGAAGAGAAGGCCCAGGTCTAATTCCTCTCAAATCCAGCTCAAAGGATCCAGTAGCCCGTTAACTCAGTAGAAAGTACCCGCTTTGCATGCAGAAAAGGGATACCAAAATTATCAAGGAGATGGAGTGACTCCCCTATGAGGAAAGGGACTTTACTTCCTCTCTACAGAAGCAAACACCTTTCCTCTCATTTCAAGGTGGTAAAATGTGGGCTGGGGCAATACTACGGTTAGGCAACTGAACACCTGGTTGAGTGCTCATTATTGGCTCTATGCCAACCTTCTCCAACCTGCTGTTCTTCAGATGTTTTGGACTACAACTCCCATCAGCCCCAGCCAGCACTACAGCTGGGTGGAAAGGGGCTAACAGGTGTGCAAGCAAGGGGTAAGGGGAATGGAAGCTTGCAGCATGTCCCCAATAGCTGGTTTGAAAGATCACCTGAATTTAGGTAAAGGTAAAGGGACCTCTGACCATTAGGTCCAGTCGTGACCGACTCTGGGGTTGCGGCGCTCATCTGGCTTTATTGGCCGAGGGAGCCGGCGTACAGCTTCCGAGTCATGTGGCCAGCATGACTAAGCCGCTTCTGGTGAACCAGAGCAGCGCACGGAAACGCCGTTTACCTTCCTGCCGGAGTGGTACCTATTTATCTACTTGCACTCTGATGTGTTTTCGAAGTGCTAGGTTGGCAGGAGCAGGGACCGAGCAACGGGAGCTCACTCCATCACGGGGATTCGAACCGTCAACCTTCTGATCGGCAAGTCCGAGGCTCTGCGGTTTAACCCACAGTGCCACCCACGTCCAACACCTGAATTTAGACACCCTTTAAATTGGTTTCTAGTCCTCACTGACTACCAAGATCAAAGAGAGAAAACTGACCAGCAACACATGTGAGGTTTGGAGAGAGAGGAGGTGGAGAGTCTTTCTTGCAGAGGTACTCACCTCCCACCCCTTCACCCAACTTCACATCTGCCAGCCACATTTCCTCACCTCAAACCCCCACAAGCTTCTCTCCCTGCTCAAAACTCAAGAACAACCAATTCAGAAAATAAGGCAGGGCAACTCTGGTCCAGCAGATAAAGAACTGCTTTGGGGCCTAAGAGAAGATCAGTTGGGAGTCTCACCTCTATTGAGAGTGCAATCCCAGGAGGATGAGAACAACCACCTAACTCACAAGGCTGTTCTGAGGATGAATGTCATAATTATTTAAAACACTAAAAGTTTGTAACATGGGAGGAGCTACTCAGAGATGGCACCACAAATTATAGGACATCCTGAAAGGCAGGCTTACAGAGCACACCCCAGGAGTTTTCAAAGCAAGATAAAATCCTTTCCTTTTAATCCTCAACAGCCTTCTAAATTTGGGGGTCTCAGAGCTGTTTGGTTTGTAAATGGGGCAGAGGGCTGCTCATTCCTGTTTTTATGCTATTTATCTGGTTCAGTCTGCTTTTAAGGTCTTGTTTGCTGCTTTTTTGTTTGTTTCTTGTTTAACAGAAAATAAATTGAGAAATGCTATGAACGCAAACAACAAAACAGTCTATATAGGTTCACAGAGATACGGGGACAACGCGTGGTTTTCAATCTGCTTCTCAGATTTTCAGTGGGAGCTCTTGCCAGTGCAACAGACACAGAGAAGGTTGTCTTGAAGCCAAGAGCCTCTCTGGTTTCCAGGATGCAGCATCAAGAAGGCACTCTTACTCTCAAGAATTACAGGGATCTCTCACTAAGCTATCGTGGGCGTTTTGTTTTTGCTTCTGCGGCCCAGAGGATGGGCCACAGCAAAATGGTAGGGTGCCCCTCTGGCTGCCAATTGCTGGGAATCACAAGCGGGGCTGTTGTGCTCAAGGCCTGCTTTCGGGCTTCCCATAATGGGCACCTGGTTGGCCACTCTGAGAACAGGATGCTGCAGTGCACAGGCCATTAGCTTGACCCAGAATGCTCTTCTTATGATAAACTTTGCACACAGGAGATCCCAGGTTCATTCCCAGCATTTCCAGATGGGGCTCCTTTTTGAACATCCTGGAGATCAACTTCCATCAGCCTCAACCAGGAGGGCCCAATGGATGGAATGATGGGTGTACTAACCCAACAACAACTGGAGGGTCACAGTCTCCTCGGTCTTTGAGCAGGCTCTACTGAGCGAGACCAACCCATCTTCTGTAAAAAGAGGTTTCCCATGTTCTAAGTCAAAATATCGGTGCAGCACCTGAGTTAAGCCCTGCAGATCCACAACTTCTCTGTGCAAAGATGGAGCATCGCTACCTGGGCCAAAGGATTTTGTATCATGACAATATTTTTCATTAATAAAAGAGGAAAGGCAAGTTCCTAGCCTCTGAAGATTAGATTGAAATCATGTGGGCAAAGGTGAAGACGGAAGCTGGATAATGGCAGGAAACGGGGGGTGCTGCAGAAGATTTTAGTGCCCACCCAAGATCTAAATTCCCCCTTTGTTCCATGTGTACCTGACAAAGCATTGCAAGTTCTTGGGAGTCCTATATATGTATAGTTATATATACAGTGAGGAATTGCCTAGTCTCTGCTTGCCTCAGAGTCTGGGAAATCTTTTATTTTTAGCTGCCAAATATGCAAAATTATCAGAGCTGGTCCTAAGTATACAACCGCTGAAAACAAACCCTTCATTTCTCTTTCCAAAGGAGCCCCTTCCTGGACACTGCTGCCCACCCCCCACCCCCACACAGACAGACAGACCTCCAAGGTGGGGAAACCAAATCTTTCTTGGTCTCAGTCAAATAAATATGGAACAAACGAAACAAAGCAGAACATGGAAAAAGGGTTGATGGGGGTGAGAAAGAGAGACAAGAGGGGATTCAGTTTGCCGGGAGGGAGCCTTCAGACTTCAAAGAGGTTAAGAAAGCCATCAAGGCAGCCAGCTGGGCAAATGCTCCAGCTCCATGGGTGGGCTAAATCAGCCTTTGAAAATGCAACGCTCTCTACACACACACACACACACACACACACACACACACAACCCATGTGCTTAAACATTACTCTCCTCCAAGTGAAATGTCTTAGCTGAGGCCTTATTTGCAGAAGGGGGGGATTGGCAGAAAAAGGGCCTGGAAAATTCCATCCTTTAAATGGAGGAGTTGGGGGTGGCAATGCAAGGCCCACAGGCGGCTCCCCACTGCTTGCCAGATCCGGCTCTTCCTGTCTGAAAAAGCACAAAGCGGCAAAAAGTGGGAGGGGGCAGGGGAGAAGAAGGGAGTTTGTGTAGTTGTGCTATCTCCTTCGACCTGACCCACTGTATATGCCTGACACTTCCCACACCTCTTACATTTTTGCAGTTACAGGATTTCCTACTTCTGCCTACGTTTACTCAAAAGTATGCACTGCAGAGTTCAACAGGACTTAAATCTCAAGTAGGCATGTGTGCATAATATTGCCGCCTAAACCTTATATGCACATATTTGAGTTACTATTATTATTGCATTATTATTATTATTATTATTACCGTAATTAAAATTTATATACTGCCCATCATCTGTAGATCTCAAGGTGGCTCACAACATAAAGGTAACCCAGGGATAATAACAATGTACAGTAACTTAACTATACAGCGAGTCCTTAATGAGAGCCTGGTCTTTAGCTTCTCTTTGCAGTGTTTCTCTTTAGCTTCTATTTTGCATTTGCCATGGGCATGGGGGGAAATTCTCTAACACCCACCCACCCTTATTGCGCAGCAGGATTTGCAGAAAAATAACTTCTTCTAAGGAGTACCTGATCTCAGATAAACAACATGAAATATGCACCCCACCTGTGCATACTACAGAGATCCCAAGAACTAGAAAATGCAACAGGAGCCAGACAAGAAGAAGCCCTGGGATCCTGTCTGGTCTCCAAATAACTCACTTGGCAGTCACTGATCTTACTTCACTCATAGGCTAAAAACACGTAAAGTTGGGAGCAGCCAGTTTGGCCCGTCTCACAAAAATGGCTTGGAAGAAGACCTGCACATTTTGCTTCATAACTTACTTTCAAGGAGAGCTATAGGCTTACTTTTCTTAAAATAACAAAACAAAAACAAAAAACAGAAAATTCAGAATCTTGGGCCCCTGCTGGCTATGGGACCAGTATACCAGGAGCTCCTCTGCCCACCTCTCCAGGTGTTAAAAGCAAAGTGTTCCAATTTAAATTCAGGAAAGGTGTGCTCTGGCTCTCAAAAGTTCAGGAAGTGACACCTTACATGTACAGAAGTGCTTCTTTCAGGGCTCTCCAGTTCAACCTGAACCCCAAAGAGATTCCGGCCATGAGGGGCAGGTACCCTGCACAATGTGCCTTGAATAGCTTGCTTGAG